GGGGGGGGGAAGCAGAAAATGCAAAGGGGCGGCGGTGCAAAGGCTTTTGCACGGCGCCGGTTGGGGTAGGTGGGAAGGGGTCGCCGCTTGTGGGCTTGCGCCCTTTCCTCAAATTGTGGTTATATGAGCAATTGGGGCGGTGGGGTGGGGGGGAGAGATCTGACCCCGTCGCGAAAGCCGGGGGGCGGGTGGGGGGGGGGGGGAGGGGGGGGGGGGGGGGCTCTTGCAAAACTTTCTACGGGATTTCCGGCCGGCGCTTGACGAATTTGCAGCTCTGTCGTGCAGGCGAAGTTCGGAAAAAGCTGCACCCATGCCTTAAAATATATATATATGTATATATATATATATATATATATATATATATATATATGTATATATAATTTTGCTCTGTCTTTTTGCAAAGAAAAGGATTGCGGCTTCTCGCCTTCCTCCCCTTTTCTTTTTGCAACTTCTGCAAACGGGAGGCCCGGCCTTCCTTTGGACAAAAAGGGGGGGAAAAAAGCGACGGGAAGGAAGGTGGGGGGGGGGGAATTCCATTGGCTCCTCCCCGATCAGCTGCTGTTTCCAGCCCCCCCCTGCACCCCCCACCCAAACGGCCGGGGAGAGGGAGCTGACGTTAGTCCCCGTGCATCCTTCCTTGCAACCTTTGCTCATTCTTCCTTCTCTCCTCCCACCTCAAAAGAAATATACTGAGCTGTGTTTCCTGCTTTCCAATCGACCGAAACTGGTGTGTGTGTTTGTGTGTTGGGCCAGTGTGCTCTGTCCATGCTTAGAGGTAGCCTCTTCCCCCTCTTTCAGGAGCTGTTGGTAGACTGCATGCTGTCTTGCAAAGGCTATGTGGCTTACAGATGGGCAGGGATAAATATTCATGGCCCCCCTTTATCATGGGGTGGAAGGGGGAGTGAGGTTATGGGTGGGGGGGAATACTCCCCTGCAGCTCAATTTTCTGAAAACAGTTGCAAATTGCAATCTTTAGCGCATATCGGTCAGGATAGCAAATTTATTCTGAATCCCCTACAAGAAGGGGACTACGGTCTGCGCATTTGCTAAACCAAATGGACTTGGGTATGATAGTTGGATGGGAGACCACTAAGTGATATTAGACTAGACTGCAGGTGGCTAGCCGTACTTTTGTACGGCTGCCAAAAAACACTAGGTGGGGATAGCCATGCAGTCACCAAAAAGTAAGCTTGACTGACATTTTTTTTTTCCCTTTATGTAAATTAAATTATGCTCAATCCTGCCAGTTTATTTTTTTTTTCGTGCCCAAATGCAGAAAAGTTTGCAAAGGATAGGTAGATAGATAGATAGATAGATAGATAGATAGATAGATAGATAGATAGATAATGATAGATGATACAGATACAGATATATAGATAATGATAAGTAGATAGCTAGAGAGTTGGAGAGATGCTAGATAGATGCTAGTTAGATAATATAAAATAGATAATGATTGATAATGATTGATAGATATGATAGATAATTAATAGAAGATATAGATGATGGATGATAGATAACAGAAAATAGATAAATAGATAGATAACGATTGATAGATAATTAGACAGACAGACAAGTGTTTCTCAACATTGGCAGTTTGAACATGAGTAGACTTCAACTCCCAGAATTCCCCAGCCAGCCATGAATATAGGTTTTTTTTAAAGTGTTTTTTTTTTTAAGTTAAGAATGCTGTGTTTGTGTCTTTGCCCGTTTCCTGGATTATTGCACCAGTATAGAATCTTTGGTATCTGAGTCGAAATTCCTAGGAACTCATTGTGTTGACATAAGGACAAGAGGCAAGTTGCTGGTTTTAGGATGAAAGAATTGCTAGCATTGTTTGAAGCGTTCCAGAGGGCTGTTGTGCAATTGACACGCAAGGGCACACAGCGACCCTCTGCACATCAGTGGAGCTGGCCTCAACGTTTCTACACTCGAAACATTTTGCAGGAAGGTCCTTCTTCACCCTGGCTGTCTCTTGTGAGGGTTAGAGACTGCAAATCCTAAAGATCAGATGAGCCGGTGTTAACACCCCTGTGAGGTAGGCCAGCGTGTTCCTCTTGCGGGACCCACAACGGCTCCTCCTTGCTCAGTGACCGTTTGATGAGAAAGTCCCTTGGCAAACCATCTTCCCTTCGATGGCGGGTGTGCAAAGCTGGTGAAAAAGCAGAAAGATCAGAATCATGGTTTCGTTTAGTGACTGCTCCTGTGAGAGACCAAGCTGCCAGTTGCTAAACGAGGACCAGACTGGATTTGGATGCCGCCTTAATGCAAAATTGCACGAGGCTTTCCTGGAAAGAGAGGTAGAGTTATAGAAGCGGTGCAATCCGTAATTCTGATGCCAGGCCGCTGCAAATAATTCAGTCCAAAGCGTCTTGATTTTTATTTATTTTCGGACTTCCTCTCCCGCTGCCAGCCAATTTTTTATTTTATTTTATTTTATTTTGTCGGTTGGCATTACACTCTGCCTCTTTGAGTGAGTGGGTGGGTGAGGGCTATAATTTGCCCTGGGAATTGAAATCCCAGGGCATTTTTTTTTCCTCTTTAGAAGGCAGGAGAGTCTATCGCCAGCTGCTTCCTTCTTTCCTGGGACTTTTTGGTGCAGGACGTCAAACCGAATGCCAAGGCTATCGGAAATTGTGCTGTCATGGAGCATTGTGACACACACACACACTCACACATGCACCCCTCCAAATGGGGCATTCCGAGCCCCAGATTAAGCGGAGATTAAGCTCTTCTTAATCTCCGGTCCCCTCTGGCCACTTTTGCAGTGGGATGTTCCACATTCCACTGGGGAGTGGGGACATTTTGCAAACCTCGATGAAGTCCGGCGGACAGCAGTGTCCTTGGCAAACCGAAGCGGCCGTATTTTTATTCAAAAATGTCATCATATTTCCAGGGGTGCCCCTTTCTCCCCTTTCAAAAAGTGGCACCAATCCCCCTGCATTTTAGTTTGGGCTAACAGTGTCGGAGAAGGAAGCGCACCGGGTCGTTCTTGGCGGGAAAGATCAGAAGGGGCTGCCACCGAGAAGGTCTAGTTGGAAAATGGCACCCACCTAGAGGTGGGATTCAACCGGTGTAACAACCGGTTTGGTGAGCATGCGGGCGGTGTGTTTGAAAACAGCTCTAAAACTTACCTTCTGTTCTGACCCAAACCTTGTTCCAAGGAAACAACCACCAAACGGAGGTAACAGCAAAACCTTTTAATGCTTCTCTATGAATTCCGTTCCTTCCCGGTTAAAAGGCTGTTTCAAACTCATCGAGCCTTGCTATGGTTGTGCAAGGCTGTCAAGAACACTGGGTAAAGTTACTAAGAAATATTTCAAACACAAAGATTCTCCAAACACCAACCAAGACATTCCGAACATCTACAAGGCTTAAGTGCAAAAACTTCTTTGCTTCCTGCAAAGAACTCCGGTTTCTCAGCTGGCTTTTATCTCTTAAGGGAGGGGCCATCACCTTGCAGCCTTACTTTTGAGTCGCCCTTGCTGCTGCAGCTGCTCTTTCCTTTGAACAGCCCTGCATGCATGCACAGTGGAAACAGGCTCCTCGGGGACCTCTTCATCGCTGCTGCCAGCCTCCACAATCTCCGAAGGCCTCCACTCCCTGATGGTCCTGGCCCCATTCCTGCATCACACGCAGGCCACTCATCTGAGTCCTCGCTCTCCGAGACCTCAGCCATCCACACCTGCTGCCAGCAAACCACAACACCTTCTACTGCAGCCCTGGTGAATTAAAAACAGTTGATTTATGCGGCAATCCGCTGTTGCCGTGGGAATCAGCTGAGCTGCAAAACACAGAAATATAGGACAGACTGGCGCAGGGGCAACTAATCGTTGGAACAACCAGTTCATGTGAACCGGTCCGAACCGGCAGAATCCTACCCTTGCGTTTTAAGAGGCTGGTCTCAACTTTGACATGGAATGCCAAGATGTATAAGTGGTCCCTCAACCGTTTTGTTGAGCAACTGTTGGAAGTTACAACGGTGCCGGAAAACAGGGACTTACGACTGCTCCTCACACATAGAAAGAGGCCAACTTAGGAGTTTTGAAACACTAGCTCTGCGAGAGAGGATCCGGATTGTAATCAACCAGCTATTTTAAGAAAGGATGACCCACAGGAAGGGAATACAGAAAGTCTGCGATTTAACAGCAGTTCATTTAGTGGCTGTTCCAGTTACAACGGCACTGAAAAACCTGGCTTACGACCGTCTTTCAGAGTTACAACCTTGGCAGCCGTCCCCATGATCATTCGGATGCTTGGCCATTGACTCGTATTTATGAAAATCGCAGCCTTCGGGGTGGGCTGTCACATTAACCCCTTTCGGCGACCTTCCCGCAAGCAACGGAGAAGTCAGATTCACTTACCAAGCAGGTTACTAACTTATCCTCTTGCACTGATTCACCGAACAACGTTGGCAACGAAAGATGGGGAAAGGGAGCAAAATTGAACAAAGGTCTCACTTAACAACAGAATGTTGCGGGGGGGGGGGGGGGGGGCTCCATTGTGGTCATAAGTTAAGGACTACCTGTATTCTTTCTTTTGATCGCCGGCCCCAAACCCATCCCAACCCGTGGTTTTCCCAAGACTCAAATCATCTGCCTTGTGGCCTGCAAGATTTACATGTTTTTCCCAGCCCAACAGAAGTTTTGCTT